GGGAAAACGGGTTCGTGCCGGCAGCGGAGCAAGAAAAGTTCTATCTTGGGTAAAAAATTGTTCTTTATTTTCATACGCCCTAATTTTTACGCATTTTGACTGTGTTTTGTGCGTGTTTCTGTGATTCTTGTGGATATGGTGAAAAAACAACGTCGATATTGTTCTTGCAGGATGTAAATAAGGATGGATTTAGGCATAAATTGGCTGTAGAGAATCGGCGGAAAAAAGGTGACTCGATGGTTCATGGTGAAACTGGAGAATCTGTCATTGCCTATATCACATTTCAGGTCACCTTAATTCAGAATTTGAGAAAGTTTTGTTACATCTTATCTATTTGGTCAAGATTATTGTTCGATTCTTTATTATTGTGCGATTTTTTTTATTTTTTATTTTTTTGGTTATGCTATGGAGATTAGGGTTCAGTGGGTCTGTAGATGCTGCGTCATTGTTGGAATTTGTCGATGTTGGTCATGATTTGATTCTTGCTGCTGATGCATCAGTGTCTTAATTGATTTGGAGATTGTTGAGTACAGGGTAGACTTTGATGAGGTGGGATTCGGTCGGTTTACGAGCTTCTGTTTGTGTTTTTGTTATTGATTCGGAAAAAATATTGATTTGTTTATGTATCTTAAAAGATTCTAATTAATGTGAAGTGTTTACTGTTTACCCATAGGATCTAGCAACTCTGGTGATTAATCACACGAGCTACGCAGTTTCGGATGAAGTGGATCATACTTTGATGGCTAACGGTCATTTAATTCAGTCTGAGGCTATTCTGGGCAGCCAGAAAATCCAGGTAACATTTATTTTTTTATGTTTTTAATAGTTCTCTGAAGGCTCGCACCAACATGACATAGCTATAGGCTGAAATTATGTTCTTATATGTGTTAGTAGCTTTGTTATTGTTCCTTAATGTGATTTTGTTATGCTTTTTAAGATATGATTCTTTTTAAGATATGATTCTTAGGCTCTCTGAAGGCTCGCACCAACATGACATAGCTATACCTCTTTATTTTGACTAATTTGCAATGCTTTTTAAGATATGATTTTTAGGACTTCTGTTTTCCATGTGGACTTCACATAGTAAGATGCACTAAGGCACGAATCAAACTGATCAAGCTATTAATATTGTTCATATTAATATTTGAGTTTCATGGTGTTGTTTTTGTGAGTGTTATATTGATGGTTTCTGTTAAATCCAGACTAGAGAACTCAAATGAGTATGTGCTTAATAGACTTTCTATGATCACGAAAGTGTGTGGTTTGAGGGGTTCAATTGTCTTATTTTTTTGAATTATAGGGCTATTTGGAGATCTATTGGGATTTTATGATGACAATTTGTCTTTCATATATCTAGCACTAAACTATGGAATGAGTGCAATAAACATGGGGTCTAGCATAACGACACATTTATTTACCAACAATCAATTATTTTTGTATTCTTTTATTCCACTTTGTGGTACCATCCTCTGTTTGAAGAATCACTCATACATTGAGTTTTTATAAGCATAAGTTTCTTCTAGACTTAATTCAAATGAATAGATTCCAATGAAATTTTCAAAGATTGATAAGGAGTCTTTTATTGAATGCAGTTTTTCCTTGTGTATTTGTTGCATTTTACATCAATATTTTATAAAAGCTTTGTATTAACACTTCTCTTTCTGCATAATATAGTGTGTTTGTCTGATACAAGTGTCTCTGACTCTTTAGATTTTTTCTGAATTTATTGGAAATGATGAAGAGGTCAATCTTTTGAGCTACGGAACTGTAAAGCCCGAGTTTAGACAATGGTCGTTGATGTAGAGTCAATAGTCAGATTTTTCGCATTCCTTTAAAAAAAAGGCCATTGGTTGAGATCTTTAACACATCATATTGATTGATTATTATATTACTGTTTTTTTTT